AGATGACCATTTTATAAATAACCCCATGTGAAAGAATATTGAAAATGATTACCAGCCCTAGGTTGTGTGTGTTTGCTTAGAGAGCTGGATGACTTCAAGATTAATGAAGCACAGAAGTTAATTAGAGAGGCTGAAACTCAAGAAATCCCTGGTGAGAAAAACAAGGGTTATCGGTTTTTCACATGAGGCAGAAGCAATGGCAGAAATTGAGTTCCTGTCAGCAAGGATCTAGTGTTTAAGACATGGTTTAATAATTTTTCTGGGCTGTTAGCACCCTGAGCACAATGACAGACATTATCTAATTTCTGAGCCAAGGTACTCACCTCCCCTGCCCTCAACTACAGGCGACAGAACCCATTACCTACATCAGGATGTCAGTGTTAGAGGAGCCAGCGGGCCATGTACCCTCAGGTCTATTAACAGGCAGGGATATTCTTCACTTCCACACACTGAAATATGTTTGATCCTATGGGGAGATCATTCATTTTTATCTCTTCTGATAAAGACATAAATCTAGGGAAACATTTCACTTCCCAGGACACCAGAAAAAAAACAAACAAACACAAAAACAGCCCTAGGGCAGTGATGACTGGCTGGTGTGCAGCCTCCCTTGGCAAGGCCTGTGGGACCCTGTAAATAACATGACTTGTCCACTGGGGTAGCTGTTACTCAGCTCCTGCTGATTGTAGCCATGAGAGAGGGTCGAATGGTGTCAGATATTTCATTTTCTAAAGAAAAGCCAGAAATCTGGCCTCTTCTGTGATTCACCTGATATTTAAATCTAGCATCTGATTAAAAAATCAAAACAAAACAAACAAACTCTTGGGCCAATATATATTTTTAAATAAGGTAACTACTCATCCAGTTTTGTCTGGGACTGAGGAGTTTCTGGGACGGGGGTCTTCTGATGCTAAAACAAGGGAAGCCACAGGCCAATTTTACCTTCTAGAATATGGAAGGTAAAGAAAACATCTGTAAAGGTTGAAGGAAGTCTGTAGGTGGTCAGTGTTTGACCTCTGATGAATAGGACAGCAGACCGGAATAGGGTGCACACCATCACATTTTCAGAGGAGGAGAGGATACTGATTAACAGAGGACTGTGTATACACGGACCAGAGCATGTTCACTTCCTCACTTCTGCCCTCTCCACCATCCATTTCTGGTGGCGACAGCCAGGTTAGAAGCTACCTTCAGATTGGTTACAGTGCCGTAGAGTTCACTCTTCCGGCTGCCCATCCTCAAATTTGTTCATCCAGGGAGCACTCTGGGGAGAGAGCCCTTCCTTGGACAGTGGGAGATCCAGAGGGCAAAAGGAAGACGCCAAGTTCTCTGAAAGGATGCAAACAATTGAAGGAAATGTTGAAATGTTATCTGGAAATGTCTTGGACCAGACTATTTTTATTCTACTTAAGTTTTGTAACTGTAACTATAAGGGTTAATTTTTCACAAGCTTTTTCTTAAAAATGTTTGAAGATTGCCAAGGGAAGGGAGTTGAAACACCATGAATTCAAATCTTTTAATATAAAATTGGACAAATTGAGATCTACTGCCCCATAGCTAGTTAGTGGCAGAATGGTTCAACTTGTCCTCTTTGGAATGGGTGTGTGGCCAATAAGGTGATAAGGGAAGGCAACTCAGCTCCTCCAAGATGCATTTCTAGCAATTAAAAGTTTTATGGCACAAAGAAAAAAATCACTAAAATCTAAAAACAGAAGTTATTTCATACTCTGCCCTTCGTTTATGAAATTAAATGACGATGAATCACTGAATGCTCATATTTTTGAAACTGAATGCAAATACATAAAATAAAGGACAATGAAGCTGAAAAAGGAGCATCTCATATCAAAAAGGCTAATTGGTTGTCTCTGGGCCATTTCCTGTGGGCAGAAGACATTTCAAATTAAAAACCTATGATTTGAAAAAACATAGGCAAGGAAGTTTTTTTTTTTGTTTGTTTGTTTTTTTTGTTTTTTTTTTAAAGGCTTTACAACCATCATTACATATTGGCATACAGTATATTCCACTTCATTCTTTCATTCTAAAATCATCACAATAGAATTCTCTTTGAAGTCAGAGAATAAACTTTATGGTGAGGGTTTACCACCAGGGTCGTATGGAGCAATTAAAAACAAGGCTGATTTTTATGTTATTATAATGGCATTCTGCACCAGCCAGAGAACTGACTGGTCATATTTACAGTCACTCAGAGGTACCATTAAGGTTCAAAACTCACAGATTCCTTGTTTGAATAATTAGAATCCTCCCTGCTTCCTTTTGAGCCAAAAATGAAATATATGGTTCATCCTCTCACCTGTTTATGTAAATTTCTAGGGATCTTAACAGAGTAGGATAGAAACAATGACTCAGTAGCATGACTGTCACACCAACAGACACAGGCCAACCTAAGTTCCTTGCAGACTCTAAGAAGGTCCTAGAGGCTGAAGATCAGTGTTCACACTGACTTTATTGTGGGTGGACTGCATGTAGTTCTAGGCCACCTACTGGGGTAAACATAAGCTCGGTGAATAGTTCAGGGTCAGGTTCATCTGATATGGGAGGCCAACAATTAACAGAGTTTATGATTAACGTCCAGACTCACAGCTGCTCCAGCACTTACCAGCGAGAAGGGAGAGTTATGTTTATTCTTGATAACCATTAGGGGGTTGATCTAGGAATAGAAGTCAACAAAACACACCATTAAACAGTGTTTTGATATTCAGGCCAGACTCCCTCTAGGACAAATCTCTCAGAGGGTAGTTTTGGCATTCTATTTCAGAGGCAAAACAGAATGTTTCCTAAGAATGTTCTTGCTGCTGTACATATTGTATATGTATGTGTTTAAGCTTAAATCAACGAACATTTATTATCTCACATAATTTCTGAGGGTTAGGAACCTGGGAGTGGTTTGGCTGAATGATTCTGGACTAGAGTTTCTCAGGAGGTTGAAGTATCAGCCATTGCTGCAATCATCTCATGGCTTCACTGGGGCTTAAGATAGTGCATCATTGACTGAAGGTGGCTCATTCACATGGCTGTGGACTGGAGGCCTCAGTTCCTTTCATTATTCCTTTCACTTGCTTAAGTGTCTTCACAGCAAGTCATCTAGTTTCTTTCTAAGTGAGCAATCCAAGAGAGAAGGTTTGACTGTGGTTAACATGACTTTCAAAATTGGGTATTTGAGATTTCCAGAGCCATGTACCACTACATTGCTCCATTTCTTCATGCTCCTAAGCAACATTGTATTTGGGAATAGTATGGACCTCCCAAGGGTGACTCAACTTGCTTTAACCTGGGAAGCAAATGGGTCCACATTGGAAGGTGTAGAAAATGAGAGTTGAAGACAGGAGGTGCCGTTTAAGTAAACTGCTGTTATACATTGCTGAAAGTAGTGGTAAATTATCATTTTTAACATTTGGGAATTAAAAAATTTGTGCAAGTGTTTAGCTCAAACCTTTCATTTTAAAGATGGCACTTGAGGGTACAATGAGTGAAATTCTACATGTATATTTCAGAGTATTTTAATTTAATTTATTTTTTTATTAATTTCAGAGAGGAAGGGAGGAGGAGAGAGATAGAAACATCAATGATGAGAGAGAATCATTGATTGGCTGCCTCCCGCATGCCCCCTACTGGTGATGAAGCCTACAACCCAGGCATGTGCATCAAGCCATCATAGGTCAATACTCAACCACTGATGCATGCCAGCTGGGTCAGAATATTTTTATTTTAAAGAGTTATTATCTTTAACCTTTGCTATGGGTAGGTTAGTACAGTAGAGAAAAGATAAGCCATCTCTGGGCTTTCCAAGTTCATTGTGAACAATGGAATTTGTTTCTCAGCAGCCTTTAAGTTGAATCTCAATGCAGAAGTGGGATCCAGATCATAAACATTCTCCCACACATGGGACAATGAGTTGTTGGGAAATTGTATAGAAAGCTTCTTCTTTGGGTCTTCAACACTTTTAGAATAAGTATAATGGAAACGCTCAGGGAACTTTGCTTACTAAGCCTTTGCTAAGATCCATTTCCTCTTTGGTCAAATGAGGCTGATGGTAGCCACCTTCTAGGATTTTTGTCAAGATTAGAAATAATGCATACCAAGTAGTTAATCAATAAATGACAGCTGATTTTACCATTATATTTATTTAAGGCATTAAACTCATAACCAATATACACTTATTCCTACTTAAGAGAACCCTTGTCCCATTGATTCTCAAAACTACATTGAGGTATCTGCAAGGCGATGATGGGAGGAGAGGGAGACACCTCAGTCCACTGCAGCCTTGTGAGGTTGTATTTCTCTTAATATCACTTGCAGCAGAATTACCTGGTTGTTAAAAACAAAACAAAACAAAACAAAACAAAAACAGATTCATGGATCCTTCCACAGGTCTGCTGAGTCAGTATATCCGGGGATGGAACCCTATAATCTGCATTTTTGACAATCCACCCAAATGATTCTCATGCCACTAAGTTTGAGACCCACTACATTGGTGTTTTGGAGCCTTCATAGAGTTCACTGTGGGCAAGGCAGCTAAAGTGATCTTTACCAGAATTAAAAAAAAAAAAATTCTTATTATGAATCCCATCCTGTTGTATAATATAATGCTAATGTTTCTGTCCTTATATTTATACTTTTATTCATAAATTATAGCTACCACTACACTAATATATACATTATAAAACAAAGTAGACATTTTAAAAAGAGGAGATAGCCGAAACCGGTTTGGCTCAGTGAATAGAGCGTCAGCCTGTGGACTGAAAGGTCCCGGGTTTGATTCCAGTCAAGGCATGTACCTGAGTTGCAGGCACATCCCCAGTAGGAGGTGTGCAAGAGGCAGCTGATCAATGATTCTCTCTCATCGATGTTTCTAACTCTCTATCCCTCTCCCTTCCTCTCTGTAAAAAATCAATAATATATATATATATTTTTAAAAAGAGATATAAATTTTATGTACACATTTTAATATTTTCTTTCCATATTGGTCATATAATATACCCTTGGGATTTATACTCCCTACCTAACCTAGAGTCCGCTGGCTAGACCAAGAGTCGTCACTGTGGTTGTGATGATTAAATCACTCTTTAAGCAAATATTTACAGATTTCTTTCCAAACGCCAGGCCTGTTCTAGGCTCCAATTGCTCACTCTGAGTGATCATCTCCTGTCATACTGAAGCACTAAGAACATCACTACCTCATCGTGTGTAAACACGGTCTTATTTCCAGATTTTATGGGTAGGGGGGTCCAGTTCCTCTCCTCCAGGCAGTAGAGCAGTGCTACATCTAGTTCAAGACCATTTCAAGGTCACAAATGTTAATACAGTATATAGAATATACATTATAAACAGAGTATTTAAGGTTGGAGGAAAGTCCAAGATAGTCTTGGTAAGTTAGTTAGAACCCAAACAATGAAGAAAGCAGATACATGGCCTTCACTGAATTACACGGAGCAGACCCTTTGGGAAGGTTGTGTGGCACTGTGGGAAAGAACATGGGGCTTGGTTTGGGAGGACCTATCTGTGTGTGCATGCTTCTTTCCTTACAGGCACTGTGACTTTCCGTGAATTATTTACTCACGGAGCTTCTGATGGCTCCTTTGCATAAATAATGATAATAACACATTTTATGCCTACCTAACACAATTGCTCTTACAACCAAACTCTCCTCATCTTTAATAATTATCCCATTCAATTCCAGGCTTGATCAGTCAGCTGTCAGTCACTATGCATTTACTGAGGGCTTGATGGGATATCCAGAGCATCATCGGGTAAGTAAAATGTCACTTCTGATTTTAATATAATAAGCAAGTTCTTATTCTCCTGAATTCAACCGCTGCTTAGCTTCCACCTGTCACACTTGAACTCCCCAGGGATTACAAGAAGTGAATTCAAAGCCTGATGTTGCCACTTTGACATTTCCTTTCCTTAAGCTTCCACTCCCTCATTTGTAAAACGAGGGTAATGATATTTGCCCCCTAAATCATTTTGAGAATTAAATGAGATAGTTTTTGTAAAATACTTGGGTACAATTGAAACATAGTGAAACAATCAAATAGATGATTATTACTTAACTTAAGTGGCAAACATGGTGAGGTGCTCTTTCAATATTTTGGTAAATGCCAATTGCAACTTGATACATCTGTTCAGAATTGGATTTCACTTGGTGATTCTAAAAACAAGTGATTTGACCTTTCATTTTTTTTATATGATTAACCCTATGCTGGTTATTGAGAATGAAGTTTAAGAGATCAGTATCTTTTCACATCCAGTTAGAGAATGAATAATGACTAGCTTGACAAAATGGAACATTTTACTGTTTCAGACTGGTCTCAATTTAAGAACTGTCCCCAAAATGAAGGCTTAATCTTTACTAGACGTAAAAATAAAAGGAAATGATGTTGCTAATGCAATCAGATGTGATCATTGAAGTCATAAGTTGCTGGTCTGTGTGGGCCACAACAAAGCTTTGATCCTGATTTTCACATTGTGAGATAAATCTTATCCCAATATTTAATAACAATATTTTGGTATTACACCAGCTACTGACATAGGTCACCCACTTAATGACTCATGCCTGGTATTTCCTTCTTCCTCACATATGCAGGATGATTTGATTACACAGGCACATTTAACTGATCATAATTTACCTTCAGGATAGGCCTGGAGCTTAAAAAATGCCAATAGTTTTGTTTCTGAGTGAATTTGCATGCTAGTTTCCCTTCAGTGTCCTAGGTACTACAAGTCTGTTCTTTAAAACAGGCTCTTCTCCTATTGCCTGAGTTTGAAGCTGATTTTCTGTGTTTTCATTTCTCTCAGTATCTTATTCTGTCTTTCGGTCCCTGGACTCATGGTGGCATGGGAGAAAGAACCTTAGAGACCTTCTAACTCTACTCCCTCATTTTTATTTACTTACTTATTTATTTATTTTTTTGTTAATCCTCACCAGAGGATATTTTTCCATAGATTTTTGGAGAGAGTGGAAAGGAGGGGGGAGAGACAAAGAGAGAGAAACATCAATGTGAGAGAGACACTGATTGGTTGCCTCACACACACAGCCTGCAACCAAAGTATCGGTCTTGAACCTGGGACCTTCAGTCCACGGGCCAGCACTTGATCCATCGAGCCAAACTGTCTAGGGTTCTACTCCCTCATTTTTTAGATGTGAAAAATTAATCATTTTTATCAGCGTCAAAGTAGATTCTAGACTCTAGGTCACAACTCTCAGCATTTGTTCGTGGTTTCTATCTCCCCAAACTCAGCTTTTTTTCTATTCCTCTGATGCTTGATTTACTTTTTTGGATAAAAGATTAATCTGAAACATTGTGTTCAGTCCTTTCCCTAGAACAAGCCTTGATGTGTGGGGAAACTGGTCTTTCCAGGTTCTCACCAGTGAGGTGTGGCAAGTTGGCCATGGATGTGCTATTGGTACTGGCTGTCCTCATCCCATTCTATTTTTAGCATTGTGACTCTTGGAAACTGAGGACAGGATCGTCTCCAATTTTAGTTAATATTTACATTGAGAAATTACGTTTATTTCTCATTTTTCACTGCAATGTGACATAGATGAAGTATTCCGTAGTGAATTAATAACATAGAAGTTCTGGAACCAAATTCAGGATCTTTATATATTCTAAAAGGACTTTTGAAACCATAAGGTATTAAAAAAATAAATAAATAAAAATAAAAACCCTACGGTATTAATTAATAGATTAGATACTGAAGACCCAAAACTCGTTATTGAACTTTAGTTGAGGAGAGCCATTCTGAATGATAATTTGATATTCTGGGAGCTGTAAATATTGTGTAGTAAGAGCATATTTTGTATTATTGAAACTGAAAATGCTATTTAGCCAAAGTAAAAATAAAAAATTTACTAAAAAAGGCAAAGTAAGTGTATGAATGTAGCATCAGAATAATAAGACACATCCTAGCTGGTTTGGCTCAGTAGATAGAGTGTTGGCCTGCAGACTGAAAGGTTCTTGGTTCAAATTCAGTCAAGGGCACATGTCCAGATTGTGAGCTCAATCCCCAATAGGGGGTGTGCAGGAGGCAGCTCATCGATGATTCTCTCTTATCATTGATGTTTCTATCTCTCTTTTCCTCTCCCTTCCTCTGTGAAATCAATAAAAACATATTTAAAAAAATAAAAATAAGATAGACTCTAATAAGATAGAATTATATGTGCTTGTAGAGAAAAATGATATAATGAGATTGGGACAGAAGTATTCTGACTAGAAGTTGCAATTTCTGGGTATATAATTGTGAACACAGAAATAACCCCCAAGTCAAATATACTTTATTCCATATTAAGGAATAGTGTCAGATGTAGGATCCTGATTTTTACGTTGTGAGATAAATTTGATTTCTAGAAATGCAGATTGTATCACTTCCTTAGTCTCTGTACTCAGGAGTCTACTCCACCACTCTCCTGAAACTGCTTTCAGGGAAATCACCAATGAGTTACAACTTTCCAAACTTCTTTTTTCAAGGAATGTGACATTTGATACTATTGCCTGCTTCCTCCTGGGAACTCTTCTTTTTAGTTTCTTGATGTTGCAGTTGAGTAGTTTTCTGCTGCTCTGCCCCTTCCTTCACCCATGCATTAAATATTGACATCTGGTATTCCACACTTGGTCCTTTTTCTTTTAATGCTACAAGAAATCGTGAATATAAAATACGAACGAAATCACGCCTGCCCACCACAGACATTGCTAATTGATTTAGGCAATTTTCTGTTATCCTCAATGGTTTCCCAGAATTCTCAAAAATGCTTCAGGCAATCACCAAGTGACCGGAGTTTGCACATGAGAAGACACGTTTTCCCCCTTCTCTTTTACATGTCCATAGAGGAAGAGCTCATTTGTAGTCATGACTTTAAATTCCAAAAATCCTGGGGCTCATTTATCATTCTCCAGCACCTTGCACAGTGTCTAGAGAACATGGTTAGGCTTGGATAAATATTTGAAGAATAAATGCTAAAATGTTTGATTAGCTTACAATATCTAAGCATGTTCTAACATGTCTTGGATGCTTGAATGCCATTAAAATTAAAATGTAGTTATCACAGAGAATATAAAAAATAGAGACCCCGTTACAATGAGATATGTACATTTTGAGAAATTTTACTCTGAACAAAAATTCTTTCTGTATTAGACTGTATAACTATTTTCAAATGAGAAAATGTTAAGATCTGCTTAATAACAATAATAATATTAAAACACCCAAGAGAGTAGGGCTTCGAGGAGTCAGTAACAGGCAAGTCCAGTGGGATATTTTCCTCAAAGTTGTAAATTTTGACCCAGTGGCTAGTGAGATTAAAATGTACTTTCTATTTATTCCTAGCCAAGGTCAAAGCAGGAACATAAAATTTTACACTCCACTTTGTAATCTTTTGAAAGAGTTATAAATCTTCAGTAACCAGGGTTATAGCCTGATATCTTTTTCCTGAAAATTAATAAAGTAAACAAATGTTTACTGAAATGTTTACCACAAAGAAACTTCCAATAAAACATGTTTATAGAGGTAGAATACAGGATTGTAAACTTTGAGACTGATTTTCCTCCTTCCTCGTTGTCTCATTTTTAAGATGGATCTGTAAAGGAGGATTATTATACAATAGGGAAGTATTGTTCACTAAGGTAATATTGCCTAAACTTTATTTGTATGCCAGCTTTACCATTGTTTCTGCACAGTCATGTGTTACTTAGTGAAGGAGACACATTCTAAGAAATGCGTTGTTAGGCAATTGTGCACTTACACAAACTCAAATAGTATAGCCTACTGTGGACAAAAGAGGCCACATGCTAATCTGACAAGCTCAGGGGAGGCCTGCATGCTGGCAGTCTTTCAAACTCAGAGTCCTAAAGTAACCACAAAGAATGGTCTGAAATTAAACTTTAACTAAAAGCAGTTATGGTGGGTAGTTACCTCCTAGGCCTGGATCTTCAAAGACAAGGTCAACCTTTCCCTTAACTGAACCTATCAGTCTTTTTGCATCTATGAAAACATACCCTTTGAAATCTCTGGGTAACTTGTAACTTTCCTTTTTCTGTACCCCTTGGGGCACAACCTAGTGTGCTGGGCAGATACCACAAATTCCTTCATTATCATGTTAATTGTTCTTGCACCCACCTAAGTATGTGTCTCTCATTTTACTTTTTATCCAATCCCAGGGGTTTTCCCACTTTGCTTTCTCCCGCCTCTCTAGTCTACCACCAATGGATTTCATGTAACCCACCTTCGTCCTTTCCTTTGATTGCAATGTATAAATAGAGCTGTAACTCAGCCATTCTCCAGAGCATTATCTCAATTCATTGACATCTGGACACAGAATCATGGAGAAATTCTAAAACACGAACAGTAAACTTGATGGTACATTTGTTTTGGAATGATGTTTTCCTCTTTTAAATCAATTCAGTTGAAACATAAGTGAACAAAAAAAACACACAATCTTTTAAAAAATATATAGATATCAGGTTGAAACTTGATGTAGTGTATACTTGCTCAGATATTCCTATGGCTCATTTGTTAAAACATGTGATGACTTATGCCAGTAATTTGCTTTTGTTGTGTGGACTTTGTGTTTGTTCTGTATGTTGCATTTTTCTCCAGCTGCACTACTAGTATAAGCTCCTGGAGGGCGGGGCTGTGGCTCCTTGCTCAATGAATCGCTAGTACCCATAAAAAGTGGCAAAAAGATGTTTGCTAGGGATTATGTTGCTGCTTAAAGAGGGTTAATCTTGTGAGTGAATCAGCAATAAGTCTTAGT